CCAGGACGAAACAGCTGTCCAGTACTCCCAGGTTTTCCAATGGTTCTCTAACTGATGTCAGCTCATGATTAAATCCTCCATGTAATCAAACAAAATCCCTACAAAAAAACCAATACTTGAAAATTATCGTTATTATTTCACAATTATTATCATTATTGTCGTTATTTTCACCCTTGAAGTTATGTCTGGTCCACCCTATTCGTTGGTTTGTTTTTTTGTAGTATTCATATTGTCTCACAAACACTACTGATTACACTCACCCTTGAAACCTGTACTTTTGTTGACTATGTATTTATATATACCAGATCATTAAATTATTTCATCTCATTTTATCTCATTGACCATGAATATTCAGAACTAACTGACTATTATTCTATCCCATCTTATACTCGTTCCACAATACACTTTCTGATATGATTCTAATTTGCCTTTATTGGCTGGGTATTTTACGCTTAAATTAATGGATTTGTAATTGTAAATGCACCTCACTGGTCACGACTTCTCACTAGAACCCCAGGAAACTCCGTCCTGTAGCCAGCCAGTAGTCACTCAGCAGTGAGCATCAGATTAATTTTTTCAAGAGTTGACTTGTAAAGGCTTGATTTTTTTTTCTCGAGTTTGACTACGGATTGATGCCAGTTAGAGAATCATTGAAAACCGGCAGTGGGAGCTTTTTTTATTTATTTTTGATTACAGCTTGATTCCACACCGTATTTTTGGTACAAGTACGGAATTTTCAGCGTGGATATCGGTAGCCCAAGATTCGCAGGCCGACCATAGATATCAGGTCTGCGTCGGCGAGGGCTCGAACCCCGGGCCATGTGCATAGTCGGCGAGAGTCCTAACCACTGTGCCACAGAGTTCTACAAAGCTGTTTCATCAGCCTAGTTTGCGATTTTATTGGCAGCACATACCCACTGGGCTTTGAACCCAGGAGATTTCGGTAACAAGGCAAGCTGGGTGGTATACCATTCGGACACTGGGACCACATTCAATGGTCAACCCATGAATTCTCACTTCTACCAATTCGTGATTTTTAGCATGACCATTAATTGTAGAGCCTGAAGAAGAATTTATTGCAAACACAATTGTTCACTCTATAACTATTTTGTTCTGAATAAGCTATGGGAATATTCAAGTTACAGCAATAATAGCTCCATTTTCGATAGTGTTTATACAATGGAAAGGATTATCAGCGGCATTTACTGGGTAGTATTTCCTTTTTCGTTCAGGAACTTCAAGTAAATTAGTAGTTGACAGTAGAGCGTGTGTGATACAATGCTGTCGGACCTGAAGAGCAAACAACTCACTTATGCTATTTCTTCTTTGTCACCTTAGAGACACCTGGTTAAAAGCCAATCACGAAAAGTGCAGAAATAAATTTCCAGAGCCATGAACATAACTGAAGGACTATTGACTTCAGGTAGTAAGTTTTATCTCTCAGGCGGTGGTAGCCTGTACTAAAGATCTCAAGGACAGTTTTGTCGTGTATTGGGATACGTTGCCACATACACTGATGCTTTTTCTTAAGTTTAGTAAAAATCGGCAAGGTTTTGAATAGTTGCACCAATAAACTATACCATTAGAGGTAATATCTCCATGCAAATCTATCTCCCTCCCTATCTACAGTTCCTCCTGTCAGATAACATAAGTTTCGCGTCGAATAGTTGTATGGTTGACGACTGTCACACCACTCTATTTACTGAGAGTTTCCTCTAGTCGGTGAATTACTAGGTGGCTTACTTACCGGTGAGTGACGCGATCGTCGCCAGTGGCTGGCTGGGTGGCTGGATTTCGGTGATTGGCTTCCTAATAATAACAGTCATCATATTAATAGTTGCAATAATAATACTAATAGCAGTAATAATAGTCGGTGAGGCGAATCAGTTATACGAGCCGTTGAAACCTGTGATGACGTTTGTCGATCAGTTGACCTACACTCTCAGTTGTCACTATTTCCGTCGTGGATGTGTGTACAATTTGAGGAGAACATTGTCCGACGGGGAGGCTTCGAGTGTATTGAGTGCCTGGCGAACGTGTGAAGACTGGATATGGCTGTGTTTTACTGACAGACAACTGGTCGATGGGGATTGAGGCGCAATTGTTGAATTTCGTGTGTGTGTAGATGGTGTATATTCTGTGCGTTTATTATGCCTTTCTTGATGAGTAATACAATGATAGAGTATTTTAGTAGCCAGATACCCCTTCATCAACCTAAAACCAGTTTGGAAATCTTCTGCATTCCCCCTTAGCATAAAGAACAAGACTCTGATTTTCAAAGTAAATGTGAATTCAGTCATTTCTTCGATACGGGTCAGAACTTTGTCCAGCGTGTCAAGAAAAGAATTTCCAAAAAGTTACGGACTTTATTGAATTGAATTTTTGATTTTCCCGTCGATTGATTGGACCGAAGTGCTCGGTCTCAGGTTGACATGTTGGCTCTCGTGGCCCAAGTGGTCTAGTGGATAACGCTTTGGCGTTTGAAACTATGGGTACTGGGTTCGAGCCTCGGTGGGAACATCATCACTCACTGAGAAATGCAGGTACATCCAGCTGACGAGTCCCAAATAGGACGAAATGCGCATCCTGGATTCCACTGCTAGCCACCATCCAACAATTGTATAGTTACGGACTTTGATTAAACACTAGTCAGTAACTAGTGTGATGTGTCTAGTCCTTGCCGCTTGGTGCAGACTGAATTTTATCAGTCAGGTTTGCAATGTGGCCACCATGACACCAGGTGGCTCACCATCACAGTGCACATCGATCTGATGATATTCGAATTCAGTCTGCGCCAAAGAAACGTCCAGACACGTCACACTAGCTACTAGTATCCAATCAAAGTATCTACAACAGTCCTACAAGGGGCTAATAGCTCAGTGGTAACGTCTCTGACTGCAGCAGTGGCAGTCGGTGACGTGGGTTCGAATCTCACAAGGGAAATTAGTCCCTTAAATATTACGGATACGGATTGCTGACTGGTGAGTGCCAACTAGCACGAAACCTAGGTCAGGTATGACTTCCTGCTGATTGCCTCCAACCATCTAATATCATCAAAGTTATAGGCTTTTAATCAACAGCTGCCACCTTCTCTTGCTCCAGACTGAAGAACAAATAATTTGAAGGAAGAACCTCTAGTGAGGAACAAACCGACCAAGAGCCGATTGCTCAATAAATATGCAGGAGAAAATGGAGACAGATTGATCAAGCATATATTGAGCAGGTGTCGAATGACATCGAGTTCAGTGCAGGCCATCGCTTGAATGGAATCCCGATGAGAAGCGACGAGTGGGTCGTCGGTGCTAGGGTGACACAGAGAAAATCGTTTGGTGAGGAGGAGATGAGAACTTATGGTCATTCGAGTGGTTGGCCGGCTGAAGAGGACAGCAGGAGATAGAAAGCAGTGGAGATGTGTTGTTGAAGCCTTATGTTCCACTCGGAACCCAAGGGAATAATAATACAATATGTTATAAGTAGGCCGATGTGAGAATATTACTATATCTAAAAACTTGTGTGAGTGACTTGATATGATTATGAGCAACAGTTTGTGCTCGAAACGTCATCAGTTAATATTACTGTATAGCACCACTGTGTGATTTATCAAAATAAAATCGGCAACTCTAAAGAATACCAGCCCAAACCGAAACTACCTTGCGAACGGACAAATGATCTTGAGCAACCAATCAGGTAACCGTTTTATCCAGACGTACTTATGGGTGCTGTACACCTTTTCCGTTGCAAATTCGCTCCAGATCTTGTTTTGATAACTGTTTGGAGAACGGACTGATGGGAAAGTCGAAAAATTGCCAATGTGGCGGTGTCATTCATATGCAAAGATACAATAGGTGCATCGATGGGTTTTTTTGTTAGCGAAATGAGTGCCGAACCAGGAAATCAGTTTGAAAACGTATGTCGTTCGTTTTTAATTTACAGATTCCTTAGGTACTTTTGATAAAAAGAAAATAAAATCGAGGGAGATTGAGTAAGAATCAGCAATAGGTATTAGGGATATGTGACACCAGCCTCCAGAAAAGATATATTGAGGCGATCCCTAATTGCAGTGCAGGTGTATTATCTAACGCTTAGTGCTGCCTGGGATGACTACTCATACAGATGAATGGAGTAGTTACAGCCAGTCATCGAATCTGGGCTATATTCATCAGGTGGTCAACCATACAAATGGTTTCCTCAATCCTTTTGATGGAACTCACACTAATTCCATCGAAAGTTTATGGAGTCACCTAAAAAACGTATCAGATCTGTGAATGGATCAAGAAATGTAATGATACACAGTTATCCCGATGAGTTTATCTACAGGACTTGGTTTAACATGAGTATCAAGACTCCTATGAGAAATTGGGAGGTTTTTTTGCAACATATACGAGGACGTTCTCCTTTGTAACCATTTTGTAACATAGCATTACTTGTATATAAACGATTTATTACAATTATGCGCCGTTATTTTTAAGCCTTCTGATTGGTCGAATTTATCCCTGTCAAGGTCATTTGTCCGTTCGCAAGGTAGTTTCGGTTTGGGCTGCTATTCTTTAGAGTTGCCATAAAATCTTATCTATAACGGAGTTATTCCTACTAACGAATCATAATAAAGTTAGAACTCATTGACGAGTGACTTCCTTGCCCAAGTGGTTGAATGGTCAACTACCTGGTTATATAACTTGAAGGTCCTAAGTTCGATCTATGACGTGGTCATGGATGCGTGTTGATAAAGAGTTTCAAACTAAAACGAAACACACATCTTTAACCGGCATTATTAGCTCATGACGAAATTTGTTAGCTTCTTGTTAGTCGAAATAAAAGACTTGTATTCTATTGGTTAAATAAAAAAACATCAATAACACGTGATTCAATTAAAAGTAGAAACGATCAATACATGATGCCCGGATTATCAGCCCACGTGACAAGGTCACACACACAGACATATTATACACTTATTTTAAAGGTTATAATTTCTACCTGTAATAAATAAATAATTCATGATTATAATATCACCATTATTATCAATAAATTATTTATTTAACTAATTTAAAGTTTTATTTCTGGAAAAAACACTCAAAAAACAAAAAAATATGGAAGTATTTTCAAGTGATAAGAAACGTAGACATGATTATTTTTTAAAAATTGTACAAAAACGTTCAGCAGAAGCTAAAAATATTCATCGAATTGTATTAATTGGTACAGGGGAATCAGGCAAGTCAACATTTTTAAAACAAATGAAACTGTTGAGTTCATTAAATCAAACCTTTTCTGATGCATATCGTAATTTATTTATACTAGAAATTCAACGTAATATTGTTCAGTCATTATCAGCTATATTAAATTTTATGGAACAAGAACATATTAAATTTCATCAAAATGATGAGCATATACGTAATGCTAAAAATTTAATCTTGTCTGTAAAAGAAGAAATTGATAAAGTACCCGATAATATTAGTCAATTTGCTAATAGCCCCAATTTATTAAAACGTAATGAATTCTATGATGCATGTTCCCAACTATGGAATGATAAAGCTGTTAAAGAGACAATTAGTAAAAGTAATGAATTCCATCTGATTGATTGTGCACAATATTTTCTGGATAAAATCGATGATATACGTGATCCAGCGTATAAACCAACCGATGATGATGTTTTACAAAGTAGGACAAAAACTCTTGGTATTCATACTGAGACAATTACATATAATAATGTCAATTTTGAATTAATCGATGTCGGTGGACAAAGAGAACAACGTGCTAAATGGATTGAAGCAATGTCCGACGGTGTTACAGCTGTCATCTTTTTAACTGACGTTTCAGCTTATGATATGGTATTAGCTGAAGACCACAGTGTGAATCGTTTACGTGAATCTATCAATCTATTAGGACAAATATGGCGGAAAAGTCCATTACGTGAAAAATCGATTATATTATTTTTAAATAAACAAGATAAACTGGAGAAAAAAGTTCGTGAACAACGTACACTATTTGAAAATTATTTTCCGGAGTATAATAAGGGCAAAGTTATTTATCTTATTGAATTATTACGTGAATTAACAGCGTGTAAAATCAATAAAATGAAAAAAGAATCTGATATATGGGATAAATACTTTGCTTATCTACTTCCTCCAGCACAATCATCACGTAATAATATGAAAGATACACGTCGTTTCAGTATCCAATCGAATGGTATGAAAAAGTTATCCCGTGAAACGATTATCCTAACGGAATACAGTCAAATACAAAGTATTTTTGCTAAGGCATTCAATGAAAATTTAGTACAAAATTGGATTACTGATAATTCTCCTGGTGGTGGTGGACGTAATACTATACAAACGAATACTAGTAATAATAATAATAATGAGTATGTGAATGGACAAGATAAACAAGGTCAAAAGGATTCACAAGAAGCCCACATTAAACATCTTATGTCTAGAGATGATTTTAATGCTTTTCAAAGACGATTACATTCGATTATATTTTATCAAGTTGTCTCAATTGTTGAATTTATTAAGAAATTATTTATTGATCAATGTGAACAAACGCAAACCCGACGGATTTATCCATTTCCGACGACAGCTATTGATAAGCGTAATGTTGATCGTGTATTTGAGTCATGTAAAGATATACTACAGGGTAAAGCATTAACTGATTTAATTGTTTAAAGGAAACGTCTTCTTCGTCTTCTTGTTCATTTGGTAAAATCCTCTTATCCGGTGTTTTGTTAGCACGTTTGTCTTAATGTCTAAGTGATAACATAAGGCTTCAAAAACCCACCTCCATGTCGTCGTATTCTCAGCTGGCCCTACGATTCCCTATGTGCTCTCATATCTTTCATGTCACCCTGCAATGAGCACATCGTCCTTTCCCAATCAGGCCGCACTCGAGCAATGGTCTGAAGTGCGATGCCACTCAACCGTCTCCTCATTGGGTCCATCTTGATTGACTGGTTCCCTGAGTTTCCTGTGGCTAATTCTCTCAGGTCAGTCAACTGAGCTTTAGTCTGGAGCCAGCCAGCCAGCCAGAGAAGGTGGCAGTTGTTGGTAAAAGTTTGTAGTAGCTTGTTGGAAAGAATTTTGCCGACGTACACGTTAAGTCTGCGAACTATATGCAAAAGCACTAAGTGACCTCATTTTTTAAGTGTTGAAAATCCGAATTTTACTCTTTGCATTGATTTTCAAGTATTGGTTTTGCAGGGAAGTTTTGTTTCATTGGTGAGAGGATTTCATCATGAGCTGACGTCAATTAGAGACCCCTTGGAAAGTCACCAGTGGAGCAATGGACAGCCGTCTGTTTCGTCCTAGTTTGGGACTCTTCTGCAAGGGTTGGAACACATGACCTTCTGGTTACAAGGCTATCCAGCTCGTAGACCATTAAGCAGCCACTGGGACCAGACTGATCCAATGGCCAGTCCATGAATTCTAACTTCTGCTAGCCAATTCACGATATAGCGCGACGACTTCACGCAATGTCTTTTTCGATGAGTTACTACCTCACCTCGAACCTTCTGTGCTCTACTGGTCACAGCTTCCCACTAGAACTCCAGGTAACTGCCTGAATACAGCCAGTCGCTAATGAGCATCAGATCACTTTTCAAGTATTGGCTTTGTAAGGATTTTGTTTGATTGTTTAGTTGGAGGATTTCATCATGAGTTGAAATCAGTTAAAGAACCATTGGAAAACCTGGGAGTACTGGACAGCTCGCATTGTAACCAAAAGGTCCTGGGTCCGAACCTTTGTGGTGGGTGCGCGCTGATGCAGATTCCCAAACTAGGCTGACGAAACAGCTGTCCAGTACTCCCTTCAGGTTTTCCAATGGTTCTCTAACTAATGTCCCCTCATAATGAAATCCTCCAACCAGCTATACATATTTTGCTTGTTAGCAATAGTTGAAAGTGACCCGTGATATAATCAGAGTAAAAGTTCATGTTATCTTGCTGTACCCTGCTGTTGTTCTTTCTGTATTCTACTTTCAGTTACTCTAAACCATAGCAACCCAATTAAACGAATGTTATAATGACCTTGATCCACCAATCAAATGAGTCCATAATTTTCAGTTATCTAGATGGATTTATGTACAGAAGTTTACTTCGTCTATCACTAAAGATTTTTTAATAAGGATTTAGCACTTTTACCATGGACTTATGGGATTAGCTGATAAAGATCCATCAAGGTCACTATGACATTCGTTTACTTGGGTCGCTGTTAGCTTGGATTAACCAAACCAACTTTCTCAGCGAGTAGAAGAATTGTATGAAGTTTTTGAAAAATAAATAAATAAAAGGTCATTTGTCAATCGATAAATGTATAAGGGAAAGATGTATTTTGTCTTCTGTGTTATATCAGCTCAGTTTCATTTCAGATTTCATAAGCCTGATAAAAAAGGGACAGATTGATCTTAACACTCGTCGATATTATTCCAATGTATGAATACTGAATTGAAAAATGATCATATAGGATAGATTATCAGATTTTTGAAAATAACTAATCTACATGTGAATGATACACAACTGAAACTCAAATATTCTCATCAAAATGCAAATTTGCTGACAGTTAACAGTGAGCAGAATAATCGATCCACGTAAATTATATTTGGTTAGTGAATTGTAGGTCGAAGACATTGAATTCCATTCTTTATAAGATGAACAAGTTCTATTCTGCATAATAAATCATTTTTAAATAGTTAATTTGTTGCTATTTGATTTGTTTCAAGTTTGATCACGGATTGATACTAGTCAAAGAACCAATGAAAACTAGTAGGTTGTACTGAAAGGCTGTTTCGCCCCAATTTGGGACTCATCATCCGTACAAAGTGACTCTTGGAAGTGACTCCGATGCTCTCCAGTAACTGGCTACAAGGAGGGGTTGCCTGAAGTCCTGCTGAGATGTCGTAATCACTGGGTCCCACCTGGTTGAGAATGATGACAAAGACTTGCCTCCGATGACATTCGCTAGTGGTCATAGTTAAATCACGAATTGGTAGAAGTTCGAACTCATGGGTCAGTGAGTCACAGATCACAGAGACTGAATAGTTTATGAGGTTCCCTTGTAACCAGAGAAGGTCGTGACAGTGAATCCCAAACTAGAACAGAAAAGCTGTCCAGTAAGTACTTCAGTGATGGTTTTCAATGATTCTCTAACCGATATCAATTAGTGGTCAAAGTTGAAACAATAAATAAGTCCAATGACGATAGATAGACAGCCCGCCTATCATTTATAATCACTGGTGAATGGGTGAATTAGTTGACCTCACTGATGACGGACACCTGATGCTTCCTAAATCATCGATTCGATAGATTGTGAAGAAACACACTGAATGTTATGACCTCAGTTATGCATCGTATTATAATGGAGAATATACGCTCAGGGGAATAGTAAAGTGCAGTGACATAAAAGAGTTCTGATAATATACTAACGAAACTGAAGAGATATAAAAAAAGTATATAATTCTGACCCGAGATTTTAGGTGTACCAAAGGGTATGAAGTCAGTTGATTGTTTGTCTGTTTAACCAGTAGTGAAGGTAGGCATAGTGGAGTGAGAGTTGTTTGCAAGTCGAAAATGTAGACAACAATTGACGTCAATGTTTATATCCCGAATCGGGGCCATGAGAAAAAACAAAAACAAATACTAACCTTGAGGAACTCAACGACCAGTCACGGCAGACTTAGCATGGGCGGATACGATTCTCAGATATATGGCCTGACTTTCTATGAAACGGTAACAAACAGATGACAGAATAACCTTCAGCAGGAAAACAACCAATCAGAAGACGTTACTTCTCTGCTAACAATAACGCGAATAATAATGTACATAAAAATCTATAAATATCTGTTGATTTTCTCAATAAACGATCTTATCTGTTGCCTGGCCCTTGTCTTTTGTCGTTACAATAGAATACATTCTAATTGGTCCATTTCTTGGCTGAAGGATCTATCCCCATTTCATCAAGCAATTTTGCCAAATTCATGATACCCACTTCAAAATTAGATACTCATCAGTACTGATTTGTTTTCCAGTTATCAGGATTTTAGTTTGTTGTATGCTATATGATGGGATGAATAACTTTATCAGAGAATGAAGTAAAGAAGGGAGCTTCTGAGAACGGTGAATCTTTGAACAGCCGTTTCAAATAAGTTTTGAATGCGGAATCACTACGTAAATGAAATTCATCATCTCATTAGCAGGTCATTCTAAATGACACCATGCTGTATACTACTGATTAAAGATTATGAGTAGTTTGGATACCAGTCACATCAACCAGTAGTAGTTACTAGCCAGCCAGGACGAATCGGCGTGGACAGTCGACGGCTGAGGTGCTTATTTGAGACGGAGCTCATCAGCGACGTATACATTGGTAGTTGACAATTTCCTCTTTCCCTTTTTTCACTATTATTTATTACGTTCGAATGATCTTGAGTTTCCGTGTTCGTCAAAGTAGTTGTAGTCTAACATTGCATGTCTATTTAATGATAATTACTATTTATTTTATTCACCTACATTTCGAGTGGAACGTAGGGTTTCGAGCTCCAGCTTTGCAGTTCCAGTAGCAGTGATATTGTCTTTCATAGGGTGGGGTTTTTTTTTTTTTTTTTTTGATTTACAGCTTGATTCCACACTGTTGCTAGCCCCATGCCCAACCTTTCCTCTTTATCGAGATTACTAACGTCTAGGTGAGGCATCATCTGGGATTTGAACCCTGGGCCACATGCCTGGTTGGTGAGCATTGTACCACTGAACTGTTGACGCACTGATGCACACATCGGTTGTTAATTCGGTCGTCGTGATGTCCACTTAAAAAGTAGACTTGAATGAGAATTGATACTTTTCTAAGTTGTGGGATGGGATGAGTGTAATTTCAAGGTAGTATTCATCATATATGAGAGGAGAGAAGAGAACTGTTTGGAATAGAGAACCTCTAAACAGCCATTTCACATAAATTTGCAGCTAATTCCCACTACGAACTTTTCAACCTCAGTTACTTTTGAATTTACTGGAATTGGTCAATGATAGCTAACACAATATCCACCTGATAACGAGTAATTAGGTAGACAAGGAGTTTATCATAACATTTCAATTTATTTAAATTTGTCTTAAATCCACCTCAGTATTTGTTAGTAAGTTACTGATTCTTGTATTGTGCTGATCAATGCGTCAATTCATTAGTCACTGTTTGATTACAGCTCAAATTTATCTAGATTTAGAATGCTAGGTTGTTCCCATAAGGATGTCTAGAATTAAAGATGGACAAGTGTGGATTGGATGAATGTTCTCTCTATGCAATCATCTAGATTTTTAAAAGCTTTAATATTCTTCTTTATCAGACTTTTTCTTGTCGATTATATTATGATTCCATGCATTTTCTCTTCTTCTATGTATCCTTTTCCGAGAACTATCAGCTTGAATTCGTGCATTTTCGTGTACTTTTCTACACTGACACACTGATTATCTCCATCGTTGACTTGGTTGATACTACTGGCTACGATATCTCACAAATGACACTGACTGGTGATGGAGCTATCATGAATTGACAGAAGACAGAATTCGTGGCTTGATGTAGTCCAACCCATGGGTTAAATCATATATTTGACTCACAAGGTAAAGGTCTTAGATGAGATCCCTGAAAGGGCTATCGTGAGAATCGTTGAAGAGCGGGAGACAAGAAT